GGAGGGCGCGCGCCCCCGCCCCCTCCACAGTTTGGGGGTGGGGAGCGGCTGGGAGAGAGAGTGAAGACCGAACCCTTCCCTGCGCCGAGAGGTTGGGCCCTGACTGTGCCGCTGTGTGAGCTCTGGGCATTTCTCGTTTCCTCAGGGGGCTCTGACTGGTGGGGTCGAGGGTTTTGGTGGGGAAGAGGGGTGGAAGCTCAATAGCAGACAAGGCCCTAAATAGTTCGGCTCCGCCCCCGGAGGGGTGATGTCACTCTCGAGGTGCTGCTGCTGTCACGTGCGCCCACTTCTGGGCCTGTCCTCCTGCTTTAATAGGCAGAACGTTCCTCTGGATTTCCCCCACTTCAGTCACCTTACGTACACATCACTCCTGGAATCATCAAACCCTACATATGTCGGTTATTCTTTGCCTGATGCCCAATTGTAATATGTAAACTGCTTCAAATGCCACAGTTGGCTGTGGTGGGAATCAGAATGAGGTGCAAAACCAGCCCTGGGTGGGTAGGTGGGTGGGGAGGGAGGAGAGAGAAGGGAGACTATGTTATCTAGAATAATAGCTGAAAATTCACCGACCGCAGCTTGAGAGCTTGAGGTGAGGTTGTGACGCTGCTTCTGTCGCTGCCAGGCTGGACAAGAAGTAATGTGGTTTTAAGAGCTAGTAGGCAAGGCACGGAAAGCCACCACATTAAAGCCTCCTCAGAGGTCTTCCCCCATTATCCTCCACCTAGATCTTCTTCCCCTTTTCCTTTCCCTTGCATCATAAAACAGCAAGTCAACTGTGGAAGATATCTGGACATAAATTTTTCCGTGGGCTGTAAGATGATGCAAAGCAATCACTATTACATACTCTGCCTGGCTAATCTTCCCGTCCATAAACTGAGACGACCTTTCCTGGTCATCTATTCCCTAATGAGACGCCATGATTGGAAATAGATGCCCCTAAATTACCTCAGTCAAGGAACCTGTGTCTGTGGTGTTCCCAAGATAGTTTTGTTTGTTTGCTAACAGTTCTTTGAATCTACTTCATCCAGGAGTTTCTTTGGTTTTTTAAAAATTAGTATTAACTTCAGAATAATACAGGAAATTGAATATGAAGCCATTTTCAACAGCTAGTCTCTATAATGAATGCTTGAAAAGTTAGAGCAGCTTTGCATACTACAGCTAAAATGGCAAGGTGAAGGATTGATACATGGAATCTTTTGGTGATAACTCCAAAAACTTAGATTACTCTAGCTATAACCTGTCTATGGTGATAGTCACATGGTAGTGATTATTTATGGGGGATTTGACAGGGCAGGAGGGAACCTTCTGGGTTGCTGGAAATGTTCAATATCTGGATCTAACTAATGACTATAAGGGTTAATATATATGCAAAAAGATTTATTCATACACACAAAGAGGCACTACAACATTATCATGATCGGAATCTGGAAACCTGGGTTTAAATCTCAGTGTCACCCACCACTCACCAGCTATGTGACCTTAAGCAAGTCTCCAAGCCTTCTTTTCTTCATCTGTCTAATGTGGATGATGATACCTCACAGGATGGTTGTAAAAATTAAATGAAATTATCTTTGAAAAATAGCACAGAGCCTGATATATAGTGAGTGCTTAGGAAGCAGTAGCTATTGTTACCTTATTCCTTTTGCACCCAGATTTACTGTATTCGATTCTCCTTTGGGTTTGTTTGTTTATTTTAAAGATTACTTTGTATCTCAACCTTTGTGAGTTTCACTGAAACTAATAACATTCTTTCCCACAAGAAATAACAAAAGGCAGTCAGGGGTGTACTGTGTTAGTTTTCAAACTAGTTCAGGTGGCAGTACTTAGAAATTATTGTGCTCATTGTGGAACACCATGAAATATTGATAGATTTAATTCTGCCATATGGACATGACAATTTTACCAGCACTAAATCTGGCTATATTATGTTTATGCAGATCTCTCACATATTTTTAAAAAAATGTATTTTTAAGAAATAATAGGTCCATGTTTTTCCTTTAAAATTTGTTTGCAACTTTTCACAAAGTAGAAAGTACCAAAAGTTTAATAACAATTCACAAAATGAAAACCTTGAAGTCCATTTTTCCTGGAAATTAGAAAAACACTGTAATTGTTCAGTTTTAGCAGCAGAGTTCTCTTTATTGGATTTTCCCACAGTAAGCTCTAATAGCTGTGACCCACAGGGTCTCTTGCTCTGATGAAGTGAGTAACTCTGACTCACTGTCCTCATCATACTCCCAAAGATCAGTCTCCATTTCTTTTGGCTGACCTTTCCCAGATCCCATGTTCACACTGAGCAGTGCGAGTACCCACTGAATGAACTCACTGCCTTGCTGTTTTGATCATCCAGCATGATTCTATTCAGCCCATTCTCTTCCACATAATACTGCTGTTAAGTCTTGCAATTTGCTGCCACACTGTAACTTTGTGGAGGAAACCCTGTGTCCCTGACAGAGGTAAGGGTGGGGTATAGTAGGGATGGTGAGCAACACTGTAGAGAGAAGTCAACCCTGTTCTCAGCTCTTCTCCCTGATTTGCTTTTCTGTCAGTGATACCTGAAATCCTGAGAATGCTAATTTTTTAACCTACTACAAATCCATTCTGGTCAAAATGATCATTTAGTCTATAACTTAAATTTGGAAACCTAATGTATGCCATGTAAGAGGAACATGCAAATGTGCATAAATTAGCCCAACCTTACCTTATACCTACCAACTCATCAGTGCCATCTATACCAGTCAAAATGCCCTTTCTTGGTCTATCAACTCTGCACATTTGTACTCACCTCTGCATATGTCTTCCCCTGGTACCTCTAAGTCTCTTAAGCAAACCATCAGGCTCACCTTGCCTACCCTTTTTCCTCAATTCTCTCCCTGTTGAATAAAGAATAATGATATCCACTATTGATTGATTGCCTACTGGCCGCAAATGCTTTACCAAATGCCTTAAATATACTATCTCGTTTAATTCTCACAACATCCCATCAATATTAACTCAGTTTTCTAGATTGTTGGGGGTGGAGGGCTTTGAGAGGTTAAATGACCAGGTCAAGATCACACTGAATGGGTGGGCAGAGCCACAGTCTAAACCCAAACAAACTTTATCCTCTATCAGTTACCCTCAAGATAATGGCCTATGAAATATAAATGAGAACACAGAATACATCATTTGAAAAATGTGAACCATATTATACCATGAAAGTATCTCTCAAAAGTTGACGTAAAAGAGATTTTTCTCATTGATTGTTTTTCATAATCTCCTTTCTTTTTAACTGCAATTAATAATTCCAAACTCAATAGCTTCAGCATTTTCCCCACCAACTCCCACCTCGGTCTTTTGATGAATATTTAATAATTTCAAGACTAACACTTAAAAGCATTTCCACATAGAGGAAATACTACTTAAAAGAAGTTTCCAGTAAATCTCTTTTTTTTTTTTTTTTGGAAACTGAAAAATTCATGTACAATATGAAGAAGCAAAACTCCATATATTTTTACATTGACATTTATAAATGCTTGACAAGTATTTGTCCCTACTGTATGCTTATAACTGTGGTAAGTACCACAAAGTATACTTAACTAATTTGAGAGATGTCTTGCCTACTAGAAACACATAATAATCTATTTAGGAAACAAAATACTTTAAATATTTAAATATTAATACAGCATAATATAGAATTAAGTGTTAAAACATGAGTAAAACAGTGGGTTCTGTGATCATTCATAAAAGGAAGAAAGATACGTTTGACTGGAATGGTATGGGACTGCTACTTGAGGAAAGTAGTATAGGAAAAAATACAGATGGAAAGAAGGAAGAACTATTCCAGGGAGGGCCCTAGAGAATCAACAAAAGTTTAAAGCAGGGAATAAGTATAAGAACTCTTAAGTCAAAGAATAAGTCCCTTTTGGAGGTGAGTTGCTTTCGTAACAAAGACAAGTATTGGTGTGAACTACAAATAGACATGGTGCAAATCGAAAAAAAACAGACCAATGAGCAATAAGTGTGGATGAATAGAAGAGTATTTACTAGTTAAGAGATAAAGCATCTGGTAACATCTTACCAACATCTGGTTAGTAAGAGGTTGGAAAAATGGGCCAGGACCAAACTGCAGAGGGTGCTGCCCAGAAAAGGAAGACACCATGATGTCTTTGAATAGAAGAATGACAAGAAGACAGTGTTTAAAACTTTATCTAGTAGGGTGGATTTCAGCATGGAAGGACTAGTGATAAGGACATGATTAAGAAGATATTACTATTTTATGAGCTAAAGAAGGTGACAGCTGATAGTCAAGAATTGTGGCAGTGGGAATAGAATGGAATACTTCCAACAGCCATTGCTGTTGAAAGAATTAACAGAACTTTCTGAATAACTGAATGCAAAGGGTAAAGAAGAGTGAGAAATCAAAATACAGCAAGGTGATAAGACTCTAGAAGACCCATGGTACCTGTGACAGAAGCAGGGAAGTCAAC